TCAGAATTTCCAGGTGAAGCCTGGTCACCTATGTTTGTAAGACGCACCCCAGACACTTGTGAGGGAAGCTTTGAAATCCCGCTGCTCTGATAGCAGAAAAGAAAATGGGCTGGAATGGGAAGGAAGTAGAAGAACAGTCAGAATGAACTGTCACTCCGTGAGAGATGGCAAGGCTTGAACAGCAGCAGGGCCTTGAAGATTTAGCTCTGGGTCACAGTGAAAGAAAAAGATAATGAGCTCAGTGTTTGGACATGTTCAATTTGTGACAAAATCCATACCATAGAATGAGCATTTGGACCCAGTTCTGAAACACTGACAAGGGCCAGAGACAGGGGTTTCTGAATCCTTCTCAGGAGGTTTGGCCATTTGAAAATGAGATATCCCAGGAAAGTGGCCAAGCCTGAAGTACAGGGACCTTGAGTACTCAACTCATTGCTACCCCTCACTTCCCTTCTGCTTCCTCTTCCTCTATGTGATAGTCCCACCCCCCCAATCCCTTTTCCTAACACATCTTATCAAAGGACATCTCCCCAGGCCCATCGTCCTGGACAGATTAGCCTCAGTATGGAGCTACTATCCCTTCTTGTCTTCTGCTTTGCATAGCCTATCATTTTGGATGAAAGCTGTTGGTGCCTTTTTTTCCTATCTGAGGCAACATCTGGATTACTAGCACAGAGTAGGCATTCAGTAACGGTTTGTGACACCATAGTGAAAAATCTAAGGAGAATTTACTAATTTGTATTCACAAATCTAATGCTTAAAGTGTAAACGAATCTACTCAAGCAATAGCTAAAACCTATTATAAATTATTTTGCTGATATTTCATGATAGTAGCATCTGGTTTTTGTCTTCCTGGCTCAAGGGTATTATATTTTATTTTAATAATAGCCACTCAAAGCTATCTTTAACACACTGTAGAGTAACATATACAAAGGACATATAGTAGTTGTTGGTGATAGATAAAGACTGATAAACTTCTCATGGTAGTATATGTATATGTCTATAATCCCAACACATGGGAGGAAGAAGCAAGAGGATTGCCTCAAGTTTGAGGCCAGCATATTCTATATAGCAAGTTCCAGGCCATCCACGGTGACCAAGTAAGACCCTGTCTCAAAAGTACAAAAACAAATAAGAAAAAAGAAAGAAAAATGTTAAGGTATAATCAGCTCTTTTCTAAGTATTTCGGACCAAATTACTCATGCATTCTTTGATCAGAATCAGTGTGTACTTTGTGCAATCCAAATGTCAGGCACTTAATTAAAAAACTATAAGAGTAATATTCAAGCAACTGCATCAGGGGAAGGGACGGTGACGTGCCTCTGTGTACCATCATCCAACTTCAATAATTATCAACTCAGGGACAATTTATCTCATCTCCACCTCCTACCCCACTGAATATTAGCCTAAAAAAAATCTTGGAAAGCCTGTAATTTCCTCAGTAAAGGAGGTTTTTTAAAATGCCATATTATCAAACCTAAAAATTAACAATTCCTTAATATCTTTAGTTATAGAGCTGCTATTCAAATGATCCATTTTTTCATAACTGAGATTTCTTTTACAGTTTTAGGAAGTTAAGATTAAAAACTGATCACATGGCAATTCGTTAATGTGCCATTAAAATCTCACTTGATCTGCACATCCTCTCCCTTGTTGGAAATTCGTTATTGAAGAGGCCATTTGTTGACTTTTTCTGTCTGCCTTGTGGTGGTTTGTGTTTGTCCAATGTTGCCTGAGCTGTTCCTCTCTCCTACACATTTTCTGAAATTGGTCATTGGAATGAGAAGCTGGATGAGATCCAAGTTACTTACTTATTTTGGCCAATTCTTCATGAGTCAGGGAATGCACCTTCTTCCACCAATGAGAGGCACCCGTTGCTTGGTTGTCAGTGGTTTTGTTGTCTTAGCACTCAGTATTCCTCAAAGCCTATAGTCTGTAGTTCTTTAGGGTCTGTAGAAAGTGATCCAGGTTCAACATCCTAATTCCCAAACCTGAGATGTAAGATGCTGTAAAATTTAGAACTTAAAACTTTTAAAAATTTATTATTTTTTATTTTATGTGCAGGACCCTGCATGTATGTAAGTACACCTGTGTCATGCAATGCCCACGGAGGTCAAAATAAGGCACCAAATTCCCCTGGAGTTACAGATGGTTGTTAGCCGCCATGTGGGTGCCATGTGGAAAATGAACCTGGGTCCTCTGCAAGAACAGCCAGTGCTCTTAACCACTGAGCCATCTCTCCAGCCCCAAATCTAAAACTTCTTGAGTACTAACACGATACTGCATGTGGAAAATTCCACACTTGAATTCACAGACGTAAGCATATTTGATGTGTTTCATTATGCTTATCACTACTGATGTTCAAACAATCACATCTTTAGCCTCTGTAGGACTCTTGAGTCCTTTGAAATATCTGACAGCTTCCTCACCACCTGTCGATAAAGTGTTTCTGGTTACTTTTGCTCACTTGTTGCTTCAGACCTTGAATCGCCATTTCTACAAGTAGCCTGGCTCCTTTTGATGGGAGATGTTATTTCAAAACTTTCATCAGGAGTCCAAGGCCCTACTTCTGGGCCTGTTAGGCACTGACTTTAAGTTTTGGGTTTCTCAGATGTATATGGTTAACAACAAAGGCTCCTGAGGTAGATGACCTGGGTTTGAATTGCTACTCTACCACTTATTTACATCATATATATATATATATATATATATCACTGAAGTCAGTTCATCAACTTGCCTGTAACCCAGTTTCATTAACTATAAAATGAGAATAATGATTGTAGCTAAGTTTGTAAGATTCTGGTTAGGTTTCAAGAAGGTAACATGTGGAGTGCTTAGAATAGGGCCTGGCACTTAGGGTTGTACAAGATGGCTATTCTTACTCTTATTACTAGTCTCTTCATTGTGCTTTGTCATTGTGCTTGCTCATGCTGAGCATCATCTGATATACAATATAGACTTATGTTTTACTCATACTTAGTGACACACTGGTTTATTTTAATCTAAAGTTCCATCTGTAACTTTTGTCCTAATAATGCACTGCTCTAAAATGACGCAACATGTACTAGAACATTTCCTGTGAAGGAATCCAAGTTCAACAAAACTAATGGTATTCCGAATATCCCTTAGTACCAGCGTACTTCCTGCTTTTTAAAGTTGTCTGTAAACTGGGAGTCTGCCTGGGTGTGAACCCACTAAGGAGTTAAGGTTTCACTTTGTGCTGGAGTCTCTGCCAAGCCACATCTGTCTCCTCTTTCCTGGTTGAACATAGAAAGCTATCAAGGTTAGTATTCTCTAAATCCCCCAGCCCCTTTTTAATCAAACTGACAGAGCTGCAAAACTCCCAGATCACACAAATCCTACCGCTGGTCCTGTCTACAAGCCTGTTGATATTATGAAATCTGGAGCTATTGGCCTTTGCCTCACAATTCTTTCTGCAAATTCGAGGACTTAAAAGACTTTAGAACTGTATTCACCGCATAGCCCAGAGTAAAGACAGTAAAAGGGAAGCAGCAACCTTGTGGGTTCCGTGTGGTCTGTCAGATCCCAAGGGAGCCTCAAGGTACTTCTCTAAACCTGAAGCCCTGCAGGGTCCTTCTAGTAAAGGCCTTTGTTTGCAATTTCACATTCTTGCCTCACTACATAGATTGTGCTGTCATTGCATCATCTGTGCCAAGTTGTCTGCAGTGTGCTGGCTAGAAAGTCCCAGATGCACTGAAGTCTATCATTGCTCAAAAGGAAATGTACTTGCTTATTTTACTCATTCTTTTCCTTTTTCTAAATCTTCATACCACTTAATATGGGTTTTTTTTTTGTTTGTTTTTGTTTGTTTTAGGTGTTTGTTTGATTGTTTTGTAATAAGGTTTCCCTGTAGCCTCAACTGGCTTGGAACTTGTTATGTAGCTATTTGTCACTAAGATTACTTGGCATTTAAAGCTCTTTAAAATATAATTTTAGGACTGAAGAGATGACCGACCCAGCAGTTAAGAGCACTGGCTGCTCTTTCGGAGGACCAGGGTTCGATTCCCAGCACATGGCCACTAACAACCATCTGTAACTCCAGTTCCAGGGGATCTGACACCCTTTTCTGACCTCTACAGGCATTGTATGACATGGGTGCATTTACATACATGAAGGCAATACATTCATACACATAAAATAAAAATAATAAAAAAATATTTAATCCAAATGTTTGTCAATGAAAAAATGATATGTATATACATATAATAGATACTGTTCAGTTGCTAAAATAATAAGGTAGGCATTGAGTATTTACAAAGCTATTTGTCTTTAAGAGTTAAAAACAAGTTTTAAAGAAGTATGTAGGATTGTATTTTAATAAAATAATCATTATTATACATGCTAAAATATGTATAGAAAAATATCTGAAGAAAGACAGCCAAAGTGGTTAATAGGAATAAGTTATCTTCAGAGATGAAATTATCCTGGACTTTTCCTATGTATTTCTATAGTCTCTGAATTTCTTTTTTTAAAAATACATTTTACTATTTTTTTTTTATTTTTGGTATTTTTTTGAGACAGGGTCTCCCTGTAGCCCCACCTGGCCTGGAACTCACTATGACAGAGATCCACCTGCTTCTGCATCCCAAGTGCTGGGATTAAAGGCGTGCACCACCATTATTTTTATTTTATGTGTATGTGTGTGTGTGTGTGTGTGTGTGTGTGTGTGTGTGTGTATTGCCTGCATGTATGTAAGTGCAGCTGTGTCATACAATGCCTGCAGAGGTCAGAAGAGGGTAACAGATCCCCTGGATTAGAGCCACAGATGGTTGTTAGCCACCATGTGGGTGCTGTGAATCGAATCTTGTGAATTGAATCTGGGTCCTCTGAAAGAGCACTCAGTACTCTTAACTGCTGAGCCAACCCTCCAGCCCCATTTCTGAATTTCTTACAAATATGTATTATTCTTTCAATCAGGAAAAACATATTTTTAAGTCAATGTTATTCAGAATATAGATTATACTTACTATGATACTTATCATGATAATAATTTTTTTCAACAATCACCAGCTGCCCAGATACCAAAAAATTATGCTTCCAAAATCTCTTGATGTCAATTCTGCACACAGAGCAATCGAGTTGCCCTACCATGTGCCACTCACGACAGAAGCCCTTTTTATCATGATAATAATTTTAATGAGATTTCTTATGGTAGCGTCTCAGGCAAGTTGTATAATATTTGCAAGCTTCTGTGAAAAAAAGAAATTATTAAAACATAACTGAAGTATTGAAAAACAAGATATTTAGTCTTTGTTGACTCCAAAATAGTTTAGTATATAATTCAAATATACAAAACCAAGATATTTAGTCTTTGTTGACTCCAAAATAGTTTAGTACATAATTCAAATATACAAAACCAAATCAAACTTAAAGCTTTGATATCTTAGAACCATCAACAGACCACATTCATTCCCTAAACATGTATTTTCCCTACATTGTACATACCAAGCAATGTGTGGTATGACAGTACTAGGTAAATGCTGAGTAGAAGGACTGACTGCTTCTGTCCCCATCATGTGGTATGAACCAGCCCTGTATATAACCTGGAGCTTATCAACAACTAACTACAGGATCATTTCATATGAGTAAATCATATGCAAGTTAAGTATATTTCTATTCAAAAATTTTAAAGTATTTTATTTATATTTTTTATTTTATTTGTATGGGAGTATTGCCTACATGTAGGTAGGTGCACCTGTGTCATCCAATACCCGAGGAGGTCAGAAGAGGGCGTTGGCTCCCATGGAACTTGAGTTACAGACAGTTGTTAGCTGCCATGTGGGGGCTGGGAACCAAACCTGGGTCCTCTGCAAGAGCAGCCAGTACCCTTAACTGCTGAGTCATCTCTCCAGTCTTTCTATTCAAATTTTTATTGGTAAGGTGAATTTTTCATTTGATAAGAGAAAAATGTTTAAAAAGATTATATATTTCATCACCATATTAAAATTCCACAAAATCAGGTACTATGGGACTTATGTTCACTGAAATTCCTTGAGTGTGACATAGCCACAGTTACTCCAGGCCAGGAGTCAGCAGACTTTGCTGTAAAGGGCCAGATGGTAAATGTTTATGATTTTGTAGGTCATGCAGTCTGTCAAAATGACTCAACACTGTGTTGTAGAGCAAAAGCAGCCACAGACTACACAAAACAAAATGGACATAACTGTATTTTTTAAAAAATGGAATTATGGACACTAAAAAAAGTTAATTATTTAACTTCCATGTTACAAAATAGTTTTTTTTTTTTTTTTTTTTTTTTACTTTTCAACCATTTAACAATGCAAAATTCATTCTTGTTGGCCAACTTCACAACAATCTGGTGGCAGGCTGGACTTGACCCAGGGCAAGTTGCTGGCCTCAGCCCTGAGACCAGGATTGGTGCTTGGGCTCTTTTGCTTCCTTTTGGCCGTGGTGAGGAGTGGGGGCAGATGGTAGTGGGGGGTGGGGGAGAATCCAAAGAGATTTGTAAAACAAAATGTCATACTGTTGTTTGTTTTCTAAAAAGAAGAAAATTCAAACCCCTTTACTAATTCAAAAAGTTGCTATTACAAAGAACATTTGTCTTGCTTGTTTTGTTTTGAGACTCATTATGTGGCCCACTCTAACCTTGAGCTCTGTATCCTCTTTGCTTCTACCTCCTGAGTGCTGGGATCACAGGGTGCTCTACCACACCCAGTAAAGAACATTTTAAAACAAACTTTTAAAATGTGTGTGTGTGTGTGTGTGTGTGTGTGTGTGTGTGCACTAGCGTGTGTTTTAAAGAAAGGGTTTTAAAGGGCAACACTGAACAAAAACAAGAGATGCCCATCCCTCCTTATTGCTTCTTACTAAATATAGGAGGAATAATCTTTTCTTTTTTTAAGGAAACAAGAAAAAGAAGGAAACTACCTGGATCAATAGTTTTCTTTAAAAAAAAATTAGCGCTGCTTTAAAAAAATGATTTCATTGAAAAACTTTGTATATGTTGGAGAATTTGGAAAGGGAATGAATGCCAGACTCACACTGCAGCAACACTGAGAAATTTTACACTGTTGTTGAAGCTTGGTAGTACAGTTTTGTCAGTAAATACTACTCAAAAATTACAGTAGACATATAGTATTGCAAATTTACATTCTAAAATACAATCACAAATTTTTAGTTTGAGAGTTATATCAGCTTAAAGTACTTTCAAAAAAATTAGCTTCCCAGACTGTGATTTTATCTCCAGAAGTTCAATTAGGTGCTTTAATTTTCTGTAGGGCACAGGTGCAGGTACACTAGGGATGTAGAAGAGTAATACAACAGTGATGGAAAACCACTTGGTTCCTGGAAATGGAAGAGGTCCAAGGCCTGGGTGCGTAGGACCACAGGTAGTCATCAAGGGAGGTGGGAAGTCTATTCTAGAGAATGAGTCCTTCCAAGACTAGAAACTGCAAATGACAGAAACCTCCCCTGCCCCCAGGATAAGCCCAACTCAGAGGCAAAGTCACTACCATGCACAACCTGAGACCTTGGGGAAGGGGGTTGTGGGTAATGTAGCCACACAGAGAAGGCTGAAACTGTTGCCCAACATTGGGAAGTCCTTCATCCTCCAATCTGCTCTACCACCAACCCACCACCAGAGGAATGTGGAACCATGGCTCAAGGTTAGGACCACAGTTCAGGCTCATACGAGGGGATCACAGCTCCAGGCTCATGGGAGGAGACTACAGCTCCAGTTCACAGGAGGGAACCACAGCTTCCAGGCTCATAGGAAGGGTCATAGTTTCAATTACCCTGGTTCCTACCATTTTCCTATCTCCATTGCTCTGTCCACATGATCATATTTGTGTTTAAGAAAGAGTATTTTCAGCCGGATGTGGTGGCGCACACCTTTAATCCCCGTAGAAGCAGAGGCAGGTGGATCTCTGAGATTGCCGCCAGCCTGGTTTACATAGCAAGTGGCAGGTCAGCTGAAGCTACCTGGGAGACAGTATCTCAAAAGAAGCAAGCAGAGGCAAAAGTTACTTACTGACTTGAATTTCTTGCCAGGAGTTACCAATACTGGAGAAAACTACTTTTGCTCAAGGAGACAGATGAATTGAGTGCCTCTTCATGGGCAAGGTCCAACTAGCTTTTTGTGTCTGCTGTCTTCACATCTTCCTCCATGGCCAGAGAGAGCCAGTGATGAGACATTGGCTTACTGGAGTCCCCATTTGCCACCGCTGCTGCTGCCATCTTTGCTCCTCAGTTATTTTCTTTCTTTCTTGCCAAGTCCTTTCCCACCTGCCCCTGGTGATTGGCCCTCATCCTCCTTGGGGTTGGTCAGTTGGGTGATGAAGGTTGGGCTGTCCATGGGTGCAGAGATCGAGCAGCCACCGCCTTGTCACCAAGAACCCCAGTTGATAATTTTCAATAACACTTCTTTGATTTTTTTCCTTTTGGGGGGGTGGTGATAGGGTTTCCCTGTAGCCCCAAATGTCCTGGAATTTGCTATGTAGACCAGGCTGGCCTCAATCTCACAGTGAATGCTGGCATTAGGTATGCACCACCACTCCCAGCAGAAAATATCTTTCATATGCATAGACTTTTGTATTTCTTTTTGTGAATTATTCATTGCTCCTTTTTCTATTTTTCTACTAGGATATTTATTTTCCAGTTGATTTTATGCAAGTTCTATGTATTGATACTGCTCTCTTACCCACTGTTAAGTAACAAAAACCTTGTTCTTTTGTCTGTGTACCATGTTTATGATAGGTAATCTCATTGTAGTCAAAGGCAATCTTTCCTTTTGTATTTTATTTCTTTTACACTTAAAATGAGCTTCCCATCAGGTCACAGTAGCATGCACCTGTAATCCCAGCCATCAGGATGCTGAGGCAGGAGGATTCCCAGTTATAGAGCAGCCTAAGCTACAAAGCAAGACCTAGTGTCAAAAGACAAAAAAAAAAAAAAAAAGAAAAAGGATTTCCCTATTTCAAGACCACATAAACATTCTGTTAGGGTTCCAAAGAGCAGCAGTTTTCCCCCTCCCCAACAGGGACCTCACCTTGACCTTTGGAGTCAAGGGAAACAAACTCTGCTGAGAAACAGCCTGCCTTTCCTTTGACCTCCAAAGATAAGCAGATTCTACCTGATAACCAGAGATTTTAGAAGCTGTTTTTCTCTCATCTTAAGAGGGAAAAAGTAAACACTTCCACACCCTAATCCTACCTGCTTTTCCTGCTTCCCCCTCCCTGATTTCTCCCCCAAACATTCCCCCTTCCACACCCTAAAGCCCCCATATATAAAGTCCCAGCTCGCAACCCATGGGTGGACATCTTTCCCTGACACCCCTTCCCTTCCCTTCCCTTCCCTTCCCTTCCCTTCCCTTCCCTTCATCTTTCCCTGACATCTTTCCCTTCCCCGAGGGAAAGGTGCCCCGTGCGAAATAAATCTGTATCCTGCTGAGAATTCCATCTGTGCCTCGGTGTCTTCCTCCATCCGTGCCGCTCACTCCCGCCCGTTCTCTACCTATCACATTCAATCATATTTTCTACTCTGGCGGTATTTTTTAAATAGTAAACTATTGGAATTCAGTTTGATATATAAACTAGAAATCCAAAGTAAAAATTCCTAAATACCTCACCTATTTTCCTGTATTTTAATCCTATCTAATCTTCAATCTCAGAACAGATGCATTCCCCTAGGAAGCCTTTCAGGGTCCCCCACTTGGAAGAGAGCTCCCTCTCTCTCCTGTGTCCCTTGCTGTCCCTCTCATCCCCCTCCCCTGTGGAGGTTCTCTGCATGTCTCTTCAACTGTACCACACTATATACTCCTTGAGAACTACAGCTGGGACTTACTTTTCTTCCCCTCAAGTTCTCATCCAGGGCCTCATACACTTGTGAGAAGAAAGGGCAAGAGATGGTAGCTTTAGGCTCTACCCAAGAGGTCACTTGTTCCCTCTCACAGAGGGATGGGAGAGAAACCTCACAGCCAGAATGCGCCTGCCTTGCACATCTGGGGATTTTGTGGTGGCAAAGAATCCAAGGCAGCTCTTATTTGAATAGCAAGGTTGGTATTTATAGAACGAGGTCATGTACTTTGGGCTAAGCAGATACAAAAGCAATATCAGCCAGGCTCTGGGCAGATAAAGGGATCTCTGGGCATCAGTCTGTGA